CGCATGTCAGTGTGTGTGTGTTTGCGGGTAAGCATTAACCTGCGCCTGGGGGCCGCTCTACATAATGACTGAGCAACAGGCCCCAGCTGTTCACATCTGTCTCTCCAGCTCTCAGTGAAGCATCGACCCCATGCCTTCTTCCACTTGTGAAGCTCGCCTCACTGTGTGTGTGTGTGTGTGTGTGTGTGTGTGTGTGTGTGTGTGTGTGTGTGTGTGTGTGTGTGTGTGTGTGTGTGTGTGTGTGTGTGGGTGTGTGGGTGTGTGGGTGTGTGTGTGGGTGTGTGTGTGGGTGTGTGTTTGTGCGCGTGTTGAAGGCCACAGCCTTGACAGAGGCACATGCAGTTATAAGAACACTCCACCCATGCAGACTTTCAGAGTTTAGCTTAATTCTGTTTCCTGCCTCCTCTTGTGACCGAGCTTCACTCCTGTCTAATTACACATTCAGATTCAATCCAAATACACCGAAGATGCTTTTACGCGAGACCTTGTGGAATGTATGCCTTTCACCAAATATAATGCAGTTTTTTATTATTATTACTGTAGTTTAGGGCAACTCTCTTGAGAATAAATGACGGTTCTCTATCCATTTTTTACTTTGAACAATATTATTAAGAGTGTATCCTGCCAATGAAAAGAGTTTGTTGATTTAACAAATACAAAAGAAAGTTTTAGAGTTTTTTTGTTTTGTTTTGTTTGTATGATGTTTCTCTTGCTAGCTGTTAAATACATACAGTTCAAGGCAAAATCATTAGTCCTCTTGTGGAAATTCTGTTATTTTAAAAATGTTTTTAAGTGCTGTAATGGAGGGATTTTTTTTCTTCAGCACATTTTATGTAATTTAATAACTAATTTATTTTGTCTTTACCATGATGACATTTGACAAGTTATTTTGCAAGATACTAAGTGCTGTTTAAAGGTTGTAACTATGTTAATTACTGTAGGTTAATTGGGCAAGTTAAATAAGTCATTGAACAAACTAAAAACACATTGAATAGTTAATAAATACTCAAATGGCCCATTTCCAATAAGTGGTTAGGCACGGTATGGTATGCTTTTAGATTCATTTTTACGGGCCGAAGTCACCAAAAAGTGAACCGTACCGTTCCACTTTTTTGGGTTTCCTTTCCAAAGGGTACCTAGCACAACAAAAGGGTGCCAAAAGGCGGAGCAAGACACGTAGGTGAACGCTATTGGTTTACAGATATACGTCAGTGTATGCACAAGCCAGGAGAAAATGAGAAAACAAGAAGCGGCATTTTTAAATACACAGCCGAGACATTACATCATAATACTATATATATATATATATATATATTTATATAATGAGACATGGTTTTTAAACAAACCTACTTGATGAACAGCCACAAAGCCAAGAAGAACAGCGTCTGCCATGTCCTGTTGTTTGATGTTGGACACAGTTGCACGTTCTCCCAGTGTTCGTGTGGGTTTCCTTCATGTTTTCACCCCTACAGGTTAAAAGACATGCGCCATAGGTGAATTGAATAAACTAAATTGACCCTTTGCTAAGCCACACCCATAAACCGCCACCTACCAATCGTGGCTTAGCAACCGTAGCTACGCGCAGGAGCTCTGTCAAGCTTTCGAGCGAGGGAAACAAGCCAAAGTGTTGCGCATATGGATTGTGCCGATCTGATACTCGGTATTCTAAAAGTTTGGACTGGGTGGTGGAATTTCTTCCCTTTTCAAAAGCTAAAACCCAACAGGAGAAATGCCAGCGTGGATCAAGCTTTGTGAGGGGCGCTAAGGGAGCTGAGATAAGTTGGTTTTGTTTTGATATTCCGGACACATTCAGTGATAGACCAACGACAATAACTCACACACTGATTACTCTACACAGATCTAAACTGTCATTCCTACAAAAATACAAAGCAGGTTGTTTCGCAGCTGTCTTTTTCTATTTTTTCGCTTGATAATATGACCACTGCTCCGTTTATCACCATAGTAGTCATACTAATAGCAATCAGATTTTCATCTGTTTCAAAGTATTTGAATATTTGAAATCACATATCAACTGAACAAAACTGAAATGTGATCTCAAACTGAGCACTTGCGATCAATATACTTCACCCGCAGCTGTTTTTCAGTCATTTATAAGCCTCATGTCCATGTCAGAGGTACAATTCACTGATGTTTTCATCAGTCTTTTGGAGATTTAGTCATTGGTGACTTATACCAGGTTAGTGTCTGCTTTTATATTTGTTGTCGAATTAATATTTGCTTTTAGGGAAAATCTATTTGTTCACTTCTGCTATTTATACTTTGATTTGCATTTCAATTTATTTATTTCTTCCACATAACTGCACATTAATATAGAAACTGTATAAAGAGCAAACAAACGTACTGAAAGTTATAGGTACTGTACATTGTTATAGGTCAAAGATTCTAATATTCGGCACAAATCCATCCATTTCCCCTTGCTGGCTGTTCTTTCTATGAAACTATGCTGTTAACAATGTTCGGAAATCATACAATGTAATATGAACTGTATTTTGTATAAGAACTACATTTTAAGCATTCAGTAATGAATGGAATGTTAAGAATTACAAAACATAAGAAATACATGTCTTATAATGTTTTATTGTAGGACAGTCATGCAGCATGGTACTATATTTTAAAGATTCATTGAAAATACTGTATATTTTATAGTAAAGATACAATACTGTAATAAATATACAGCAAGATAAATTATTCTGTAAAGGTAGATACAGTATTTTTGCTGTAATTGATTTTAAAAAAAAAACGTTGCTTGGGAACTGCTGGCAGTATGTTACTGTGAATTCTACAGGTAATTGTTAACAGTGTACATCTTGAATAATTTGAACTTGAACTTAAATAACAGCTTTTTTTTCAATGGCAATATGGCATGATTTAAAAAAATATATATATAGGGTATGGGTTTTGTGCCATGAGGAAGGCTTTTAAGCCAAAATGTGTTGCCATTTATTTGATTTGTGACAAGTGTTGATGTTGAGTTCCCAGTATGTACTATACAGTATATATACAGCATGCACTGAGGAAAGCGTTGAGCTGAAATGTCTGTGCATTTATTTTTTGTGTAATGCAATTACTCAATGAGTGCAAATCATGACCTTGCGCACCATAATCAAATAACGCAGGAGCGCAGTGCATACTAAACTATTGTACTGTACAGTATATACATTTGAAAAACAAACTCTGGAGGAAGAAATTCAGTTGTAGAAAATGAATTCTGTATAAAAATCTGTAGATCTGTGCAGAGAGAGAGAGAGAGAGAGAGAGAGAGTCAAGTCGGGTCCTAAGAAGTGTGTAGTGAATTTAGCAAAAAATAAATGGTAACACTTTACAATAAGGGTTCATTAGTTAATGCATTTACTAACATTACCTAATAATGAACAACACACGTACAGCATTTATTAATCATAATTGAACATTTACTAATGCATTATTAACATTCAAGTCAATGCTTGTTAACATTAGTTAACGCACCATGAGTTAACATGAACTAACAATGAACTACTGTATTTTCATTAACTAACATTGACTAATATGAACAAATACAGGAGTAAATGTATTGTTCATTATTTGTTCATGTTAGTAAATGCATTAATACTAACTAATGAACCTTATTGTAAAGTGTGACCAAATAAATAAATAAACATTTCATATTATTATTTAATTAATTGTTTGATTTATTTATTTAGTTAAAAATATATACTTTTGAGGGTTTAATTCTTAATATTTAAGTTTTAGGCCCCTTAAAATACAATTTTTTTCTTATTGTTTTAAAATCATTTTAATTGAAATTTCTTTTTAATGGCCCCTATGTCCATCTAAGTCAGGTTAGGACATAAAATAAAAAGAGAAACTCGGTGAAGGAAGACAAAATATAATGGCAATTTTTTTAGCACACAATAATAGTTGTGGAAAATCAGATTTGTATAAAAATCTGTTGGTGTGCACGGAGAAAAAATCGGTAAATGTTAAAAAATATATAAATTTAAATATTAAATACTTACATTTAAATTCAATAATTTTAATATTTAAATTAAATAAATTAAAAAATCCAAGCGTGGAAAATAGATGTTTGGTTTATTATTTAATAGTTTTATTCAATGGAAACTGATACTTTTTAAAGCATTCAATAATGAAATTAATGATAAAAAATGTAAAAATAAATAATAAATAAGTCTTTTATAATATCATGAACTCCATTGTTGTCACTTTTGATCAGTTAAACCCTTTTTTAACCTCTAAAATACACTTAATTTATTTATTTGTTTTTTAAATAAATAAGTAATTGATTTTTAATGGCATTTTTAAAGTCAAGTTATGACATAATATTAAAAAATAATAAAACTATTCAGTTGTGGAAAATAAATTCTGTGTAAAAAAAAAAAAAATATGTAGCTGTGCACGGAGAGAGTCAAGGCAGCCCCCGAGGAGTGTTCAGTAAATGTTGCAAGATAAATTAAGTAAAAATAAATTAATAAAATGAAATAAAAGACAGGAGGGACAAATATGTTTGGTCTATTAATTAATTAATTAACTAATTTATTCATTCATTAATTAATTTATTTATTTAGTGTAAAATATATATTATTCGGTAATGAATAAAATCTTATAAGTTACTAAATACCTATATAATATTGTGAACACCATTGTTAACACTTTTGATCAGTTTAAATCTTTTAAGCCCTGTAAAATACACTTTCATTCATTTATTTTATTGTTTAATATATTTTTTTTGTTTTGTTTTAACGGCACCACATCCAGTCAAGTTATGTGACATAAAATAAAAAAGAAACTCAAAAAAAAAAAAAAAAAAAAGCAACGATTTTCAACCCACAATCAAATATTCAGTTGTGGAAAATGAATTCTGTGTAAAAAAATCTGTTGCTGAGCGTGGAGAGAGAGTCCAGGCGGCCCCTGAGGAGTGTTCAGTATATAAAATAAAGTGAATAGTCTGTGCACTATTTATTATGCATGAGCATAAATGTTACAAAAGTGGTCGCCGCGGAGACTCGTTCCTTCACTTCAGTGTCGACAAGGGTACCAGAGTCCCCCAACGCACAAAACACACAAAGTACAAGACACGAATTAGAAAAGAGCAGCAGCGTGTTGTTCTAGATGTAGTCCATTAGAAAAACCACGTTTGCGCAGATGTTAAAGCTCATTAAATGCCGTCTAATGGCCAAACAGGAGGACACGATGACAGAGGTTGAACGCCATCATGTTACAAGTGTTCCTCTGCTTATTTTACAGTCAGCAGTTTCATCTCGTCCTCCCTGCTTTCACTCCTCCATCGCTGTCAGGTTATTCAGAAAGCGAGGGGAATGTGTGTTTGTGTGTACGGGAAGCCCCCGTTGGCATTTCTTCACCAAGAACATCTTCAGAGAAGAACCTTCAGACAAAGGCGAATAGTGGAGCACCAACAGGTAAGCCGCGTTTTCTCACATGCACATGTTTTATCACACTCAAAGGCTTCATATGTTTTTTTCCTCTGCCTTAAGAAGACTGGTAAGAGTGAGGAGATGGAGGCTTGAAAGAAGGCCTCTTTTCCTCTCTTCTCAGTCAGTTTTAAGTCGACTTCTGTGTCAAGGGGATGGCTGAGCGAGAAACGTAGGGTTTCTGTGTGGAAGCTAGGTTGAAACGGTGCAATAAAGAGTCAAAACAAAGAGGATTTGAACAGGTTTGGCTCTTCAGGAAGCTGTGAGTTTCTATTAGTGGCCTTTAACATATTAATTTTTAATGAGTGTAAATTGGATGGAATCTGTTGATGGCTGCTTGTTTGAGTGTGTTTGTGGTTGTTATATTGTGCTTATAATGTAATTGAGAACTGGAGATGTAATTTTTTTTTCGTGGTTTTCAACAGATGCTGGACTTAATTAATGCTCAGGATACTTGAATCTGCCTTATGTTGTGTTAGTGTATTTGTGGGAGTAGCCAAAAATACATCGCATGGCTCAAAAGTGTTGATTTTTCTTGTATGGGAAATTACTGTAAAAAAATCATGTTCTATGGCAATATTTTGCACATGTCTCACTGTAAATAGGACGAAACATAATTTTTGATTTATAATATACACTCACCTGCCACTTTATTAGGTACACCTGTCCAACTGCTTTTCAATGCAAATTTGCAATCAGTCAATCACATTGCAGCAACTCAATGCATTTAGGCTTAGAGTCATGGTCAAGATGATCTGCTGCAGTTTAAACAGAGCATCAGAATTGGGAAGAAAGGTGATTTAAGTGACTTTGAACGTGGCATGGTTGTTGGTGCCAGACGGGCTGTTTCAGTAATTAAGAATCTGCTTATCTACTGGGATTTCCATGCACAAACATGTCCCCCCCCCCACCTCTTCCCTGTCCTCTGGTATCAGATCCGATCCACAACGGCCGCCCAAAACCTGCTCCATAGTACAGTTACTAACCCAGTTCCCAACAAGTGTTATAATGTGCAATTAACCTCAAGTGTTATTCAGACACCTCACCCCCAAACTTCCAACAACCCCAAACCCCCCCACCCCGGGCTCCAGGATTTTCAGAGACAAAATGTTGGCAGGTATGGTCTAGGGTTTACAGAGAATGGTCCGGGAAAAAAAGAAAATATCCAGTGAATGGCAGTTCTGTAGGAGCAAATGCCTTGTTGATGCCAGAGGTCAGAGAAGCATGGTCAGACTGGTTCCAGCTGATAGAAAGGCATCAGGAAAAACGTTGCCTGGTCTGATGAGTCTTGATTTCTGCTGCAGCATTCGGATGGTAGGGTCAGAATTTGGCGTCAACAACATGAAAGAATGGATCCATCCTGCCTAGTATCAATGGTTCAGGGTGATGGTGGTGGTGTAATGGTGTGGGGGATATTTTCTCGGCACACTTTTGGGCCCATTATTACCAATTGAGTATCGTGTCAACGCCACAGCCTGCCTGAGTATTGTTGCTGACTATGTCTTTGTCTTCTGATGGCTACTTTTAGCAGAATAGAGTCATAAAGATAACAGATACTTGCATATTGGTTTTATTTCCTCACTTATTGCACACAACAAATCATAATGCATGCAATGGTGTAAAAAAGTGTTTGCTTCAGATCATTTATCAAATTTAAATATTAGTCCACAATAACACAAATAAACACATCATGCAGTTTTTGGTATTAAAGGAAAACAAAATCCAAGACTACATAGCCCTGTGTGAAAAAGTGTTTGCCCCCTGTTAAAACATAACTCGTGTTTATCACACCTGAGTTCAATTTTTCTTTATTAGGCCACATTTTTTTTTGTACAGTGAACTCATTGTCATGTTCAAGAAACCAGTCTAAGATGATTCATGCTTTATAATATGGCGCATAATCCTGCTTGCAGTGCACTGTGGTCATAAAGGGATGGAGATGGTCGGCAGCAATACTCGGGTTGGCTGTGGTGTTGACACGATGCTCAATTGGTACTATTGGGCCCAAATTGTGCCAAGAAAATATCCCCCACACCATTACACCACCACCAGCCTGAACCATTGAGACAAGGCAGATAGATCCATACTTTCATGTTCTGACCCTACCATCCGAATGAAAAGAAAGCAGAAATCGAGACTCATCAGACCAGGCAACATTTTTCCAATCTTCTATTGTACAATTTGGTGAGCCTGTGCAAATTCTCTTGCAGCACCTAGGCCTGATTAGCCCCACACCTGTTCACAATCAAGATATTATTTTAATAGGAACTCCCTGACAAAGTGAAGTAGACCAAAAGATCCTCAAAAGTTTCTCCGAGATCCAACGAAATTCAAAAACAAATCTTTAAAATGATAAGAAATCAGTGTTCAAACATTTTTTTTTTTACCCCACGGTAATGTAATAACTAGTAGTTTGTCTGTCAGGGATGTTTACAGTGTAAATAAGCTGATGTTGTAAAAAAATGTTTTATAGACACAGAGAAAACAGACACATTTAAAACTGAATAGCATTACTGTTGTTTTGATGTTTGAAGCCCCCTTTTCATCTTTGACCCATATATTGACTGTAACCACAACTAAATGATTTTTTTATAATGTGCTACTACAAAGCACATTCAAGCCTGTAGATGCCGGATGTGAAACATGTTCTTGGATTTGCAAGAAAAAAAAAAAAAAACATGCATGTCCCAGTCTGAGTGCAGAGCCGGTCTCATTTTCTGCACATTGGGGAATTTCATGCTGTTTTTTTTTTTTTTTTTCATCCAGTAGGCCCAGGCTTGAGTGTAGGCTTGTTTGATGATATGATGGAAAAAAACAAAAACATTAAAAATATACCTGGCCCGGTCAGTGTGTGTGATTCCTCTCTGACCCAGTCAGACACCCTACCAGCTTTGTACCTACAGCAAATCTAATTTCATGTCTTTCAGCATTGGCTCTTCTGAAGACACAAGGAGACTGACAAGGACTTATATATGAGATGTAAACAAACAAGCATCAGTTGTCAGTGTGAGCGATGACATCCGTGTCTGTGTGCAGAAATCATATTGACATGTGAATGAAGCAACCTGAATGTGCACAGATTACAGTTCTGTTCAATCGATCAGCAGATACGATCTTTCTTATTCTGAAAGACATTACTGTGACAATAATCCACTAGAAAAATGACACTAAGATATTAAAATGCACATTTGTTGTTGTTTTAGATCATATTTTAGTGTTGATGTTAGCTAATATACTTCTAAAACAGTGTTTCTCAACCACATTCCTAAAGCACCACCATCTCTGCACATTTTCAATGTCTCCTTAGCCGAAGACACCTGATTCAGATCTTTAGCTCATTAGCAGAGTTTGCAGGACCTGTAATGGGTGTGACAGACAAAAGGGGGCATCCACAACATGCAGTGCTGGTGGTCCTAAAGGAACGTGGTTGAGAAACACTGCTCTAGACTTTTCATTAATACAGAATGAAAAGGTAACATTGTGAAACGATTCTGTGACTTAATATGCTTAATGTGTTTTAAGAGATATATATTTTAAAAAATCCCAATGTTCAGATTCAACATGGACACAGTACATTTAGGTGATCGTAAATCAGATCTTAAAAGCGATTTCTTAAAAAAAAAAGAAGCTGTTTTTTAAACTTTATATTCATCAAGTCCTGAAGTAAAAAGGCATCACAGGGTATACTGAAATAATACACAGCAAAAGTAGTTTTTAGCTGTTAATTATTAAATAAAAAAGTGCAGATAATAACTGATTATGATTTATTTGAGTACATACAAAACTATTAGTCCCCCTGTTAAAATTATAAAAAAAAAAAAAAAAAATTATTTATTTATTAAATGATGTTTGACAAAGCAAGTGAAAGAGAAATTATTATTTCTTTTATTTTGGCTGTAATAAAAGCAGTTTTTATTTTAGAAGTACAACTATTTTAAAATGTACTTACTGGCCACTTTATTAGGTACACTTTTCTAGAACCGGCTTGGACCCCCTTTTGCCTTCAGAACTGCCTTAATCCCTAATGGCATAAATACAACAAGGTACTGGAAATGTTCCTCAGAGATTTTTGTCCCTATTGACATGATAACATCACGCAGTTGCTGCTGAATTGTACTATGACGCAAATCTCCCGTTCCACATCCCAAAGGCACTCTATTGGATTGAGATCTGGTGACTGTGGAGGCCATTTGAGTACAGTGAACTCATTGTCATGTTCAAGAAACCAGTCTGAGATGATTCACGCTTTATGACATGGCACGGCATCCTGCTTGAAGTCGCCATCAGAAGATGGGTACACTGTGGTCATAAAGGGATGGAGATGGTTGGCAACAATACTCAGGTAGGCTGTGGTGTTGACTCGATGCTCAATTGGTACTAATGGGCCCAAAGTGTGCCAAGAAAATTTCCCCTACACCATTACACCACCACCACTCTGAACCGTTGATACAAGACAGGATAGATCCATACTTTCATGTTCTGATCCTACCATCGGAATGTCGCAGCAGAAATCGAGACTCATCAGACCAGGCAACATTTTTCCAATCTTCTATTGTCCAATTTGGTGAGCCTCTGCTAACTGTAGACGTAGTTTCCTGTTTTTAGCTGACAGCAATGGCACCCGGTGTGGTCTTTTGCTGCTGTAGCCCATCCGCCTCAAGGTTGGTCGTGTTGTGTGTTTAGAGATCACAATTCTCCTCTTACCTCATTAATAACATCATTTGCGCCTACAGAACTGATGCTTACTGGATAATTTTTTAGGACCATTCTGTAAACCCTAGATATGGTTGTGCGTGAAAATTCCAGTAGATCAGCAATTTCTGAAATACTCAGACCAGTCTGTCTGGCAACAACATCCATTCCTCATTCAAGTTACATAAATCACCTTTCTTCTCCATTCTGATGCTCAGTTTGAACTGCAGCAGATCGTCTTGGCCATGTGTATATGCCTAAATGCATTGTGTTGCTGCCATGTGATTGGCCGATTAGAAATTTGTGTTAACAAGCAGTTGGACAGGTGTACCTAATAAAAAATAAAAATAAAATAAAAATAGGGGGCTAATAATTCTGACTTCAACTGTATGTATTCACACACCCACACACACACACACACACACACACACACACACACACACACACACACACACACACACACTCACACTCACACTCACACACTAGTATCTTATGAGAAAAGTAGGTAGAAAAATAGTATGTTAAATTATGTAATGTCACCATGACAAAGACAAAACAAGTGAGTTATTATAAATTTGTAAGTAAAACTATTATGTTTAAATATGTGTTGAAAAAATATTTTCTCTGTTAAGCAGCACTTGGTAAATTAGTTTGACTTTAACTATATATAATTCAATTTATCTTGTAATTTCAGTGTATTTTATTTGCCTAGTTCTATTTACACAGTATGTCTTGAAGGTATCATTCATTTGATTTCAAACCTCAAGATTGTGTGTTATCTTCCTCAGTCTGTTAAGATAATTTCATCCTTAGTGCAGCCGCAGTAGCATAACTTGTCAAGACACGGAAACATGAACAAAACAAATAGCTAAAATTAATGAATTAATTCCCTTTTTCTGTGCCGTGGTAATATTTTCCCTACAATTAAGGCTGTTGTTTGTCTTCAGGGACGCGGGAGAAGGGAGGTTGGACAGGCCTGAAGAGAGAACGTCTCATTAAAGACCTGGACAGAAACGCTGAGTCATTGAGAAGAGCTGCTTTCACTGATCTCCCTGACAGCCTCCTCGCACTCGCCAAAATAAGGTTTGTGTCAAAAAGAAAAGAGGAGAGAGAAGTTAATTTTGCCAACGAGCGCTGACTAGCACAGCGGTGAAGTCAGAACAAAAACTGCGAGTTTCTCTTTTGATTAGTCTGTGGCTCACTTGGGGAACATTACAATAAGAAAAAGTGAAGAGGGATTTAAAAAAAAACACTTTTGAGAAAAATCAGGGCTCATTCATGGGGGTTTTAAGATTTTTTTGCAGGGGCATGAGCTCAAGTAGAGTCATACCAGTCATATTGTGTGCTTTTTTTTTTTTTTTGCGGAACTAAAGTTTTCTTCTGAGATCTTGTTAAGGCAGTAAAGAGACTGACAGGTAGCCGGTTAATGGGTGAATAAGAACCTGACATACGTTCTTCGTGGACATCTAGTTGTGTCTTGTCAGTGGTAGGAATTAGATTTTTATTAGCTTGTTAGTGTCATATCCATAACACTTCAATTAAAGGTTAAGTTCAGCCAAAGAAACAACACTTCTGTCATCTTTTACTCATCCTCATGTCATTCCATAGCCATCTTTAGAGCACAAGAAGATATTTTAATGAAAACTGAATCTGACCCCTCACTGCACTCAAAAAATGAGTGCTGTTTGTTCAAACGACTTGGTTAAATTGAGCTGGAACAATAGAATTCTTGTGTTTGTGGGGGGGGCAACTTATTTTTTTTCATGCTGACTCCACTTATATTTATAAAAACAATACGTTAACTAACTTAATTCCTTCATGTTGTCCCAGAACAAATTGATTTTGTGGAACAGTGTGTCACAAAAATTTTGGGTTTCATAATGTTTCTATTTTAAAATCACAATTGTATAAACAAATGAACTGCTTTATTTGTGCCAAACAGAAATGCACATCTTGACTAAAAATGTTGTCTTTTAGTATCAAAAATTAAAGTCTTTATTCACTATTGAAGTTGCATCCCAAATGATACACTATATCCACTTATAGACTTAATCATGTAGTGCACAAACTCAAGAAGCATCTTCTATATGATCGAAAACGAATGTGTTGTTTTCACAAAAATTGCTTTAGATTTAAGTGAGTTTTTCCTAAAACAAGTGAAATAATCTTGTTTTTACTTTGAAATAAAATTATTTTGCCGACCCCACTAGCAGATTATGTGGATCACTTTTTTATTACTATTTTAATACCAGTTTCAATCAACAAAACACATAAAAGAAAATGTTTTAAAAATATTTAATCAATAAACGCTTATGTTTTTGGTATGGACAAAACATTCACATGCTGCACACTTTGTGATTTACTTAAATATATATCACCACCTATTATTACTGCTTGTTAACACAAATTTCAGCCAATCGCATGGCAGCATTTAGGCATGTAGATATGGTCTAGACGATCTGCTGCAGCTTAAACTGAGCATCAGAATGGGGAAGAAAGGTGATTTAGTTGACTTTGAGCGTGGCATGATTGTTTTTGCCAGACGGGGGTGGTCTGAACATTTCAGTAACTGTTGATCTACTGGGATTTTCAAGTGAAACCCTCTCTAGGGTTTACAGAGAATGCTTTAAAAAAGAGAAAATATCTATTGAGTGGCAGTTCTGTAGGCACAAATGCCTTGTTGATGTCAGAGGAGAATGGCCAGACTGGTTTGAGCTGATAAAAAAGGCAACAGTAACTCAAATAACCACTTGTTACAACTGAGGTATGCAGAAGAGCATCTCTGAACCACATCCAACCTTGAGGCGGATGGGGTTTAGCTGCAGAAGACCACACCGGGTGCAACTTCTGTCAGCTAAAAACAGGAAACTGAGGCTACAATTCGCACAGGCTCACCAAAATTGAACAATAGAAGATTGGAGAAACGTTGCCTGGTGTGATGAGTCTCAATTTCTGCTGCGACATTCGGATGGTAGGGTCAGAACATGAAAGCATGAATCTACCTTCCTTGTATTAGTGCTTCAGGTGGTGGTGTAATGGTGTGGGGATATTTTCTTGGCCTATTAGTACCAATTGAGCATTGTGTAAACGCCACAGCCTAACCAAGTATTGTTGCCGACCATGTCCATCCCTTTATGACCACGGTGTACCCATCTTCTGATGGCTGCTTCCAGCAGAATAATGCACCATGTCATGGGCAAATGATCTCAGACTGGTTTTGTCGAACATGACAATGAGTTCACTGTACTCAAATGGCCTCCACAGTCACCAGAACTCCAATAGATCCAATTGAGCACCTTTGGGATGTGGTGGAATGGGAGATTCACATCATGGATGTGCAGCAGACAAATCTGCAGCAACTGCCTGATGTCATCATGTCATTATGGACCAAAATCTCTGAGGAGTATTTCCAGTGCCTTGTTGAATCTATGCCACAAAGGCTTAAGGCAGTTCTGAAGGCAAAAGCGGGTCCAACTGTGTCCCTAATAAAGTGGCCTGTGAGTGTATATACTGTATTACCGAAAACACTTCTTTAGAATGTTATGTTTTCATTTAAGATTATTAGGACTAACCTAAAGAAGAATTAAAATTCTTGAAATATTTAAAGCCTGGAAACAGCTTCCGACTTGCCAATAAATTTCATTTATTTATTGGGTTTATTTAAAGTGTTCTAATTTAGCTTTACATTTGGGTTATTTTTTTGTCCCTCATACATATTGTGTAAACATGACTTACCAGTAATTATCTGACACAGTTTTACAGTGCATTAGCAAAGGCATGTTATATAAATGTCTTCATTTTCTCTTTATCCATTTGTTTTAATAAAAGTTTTAATCTTGATTTGTGACTTTAATTTGCATGCTTTTGCTTCCAGTTGTTTATCATAATCATAAACGCTGGTTTGTGGTGAAGTTAAAGTAATTAAATGTTCCATGAAAGCTGTAATTTTGCATTACTGTTTCAAAAGTGAAATATTTAAAAGCAAATCTATTTCATCACTTTATATAGTGCATCTGTATGTTTGAAAGCGTTTCAGCATTGAAGCACGTTGCAACCTTCAGCTATTTTGCACTTTGCAACCTTGAGAATTGAAATGTCAACAAAGTAACAGTTACTTTACTGAAAGCAAACCATTTTCCAGACTGAATTAAAATTCAGCTTAGCTTTAGCTCAAAGAATGCTGTGTTTAAAACATATACAGTTGAATTATTAGTCCTCCTGACTTATTAGACCCCCTGTATATTTTTCCCGAAAAGCAGATTTTTTTCAACACATTTCTAAACATAAAAGTTTTAATAACTAATTTCTAATTTCTAATTTCTGATTTCTTTTATCTTTGCCACAATGACACAACAAATATTTTACTGGACATTTTTCAAGATACCAGAATTCAGCTTAAAGTGACATTAAAAGACTTAACTGGGTTAATTAGGTTAACAAGGAAAGTTAGATTAATTAGGGAAATCATTGACAATCAGTATATGTACAGTATATACAGTTGAAGTCAGAATTATTAGCCCCCCTTTGATATTTTTTCTTTTTGAAATATTTCCCAAATTGTGTTTAACAGAGCAAAGAAATTGTCAAAGTATGTCTTATAATAAAGTCTTATTTGTTTTATAATTCAGCTAGAATAAAAGCAGTTTTAATTTTTTAAAGCCATTTTAAGGATAAAATTATTAGCCCCTCTAAGCTAGATTTATTTCGATAGTCTACAAAACAAACCATCGTTATACAATAACTTGCCTAATTACCCTAACCTGCCTAGTTAACCTAATTAACCTAATTAAGCCTTTAAATGTCACTTTTATTTTAAATCGAATAGTGTAAGTGTCTTGAAAAATATCTAGTCAAAAATTATTTTCTGTCATCATGGCAAAGATAAAATAAATCAGTTATTAGAAATATATATATATATATATATATATATATATATATATATATAGTGTGTGTGTGTGTGTGTATATATATATATATATAGCGTTTATTCTAGCCAAAATAAAACAAAAAATACACTACCTGACAAATTAGTGGTATCATTTGGTATGAAAAGTGGCTTATACAAAAGGCCTCTAGATTACGCTTATTTTATCAAAATAAAATATGATCATGCCTTGATTTAAAATTTTTTAATTAGGACAGTGAGGTCTGACTTTGCTTAGACAAAAGTCTTGTCACTGAATAGATATAATGTTCAATATAGAATATAAAGTAATGGTGCGGTGGAAACAGAATGAATATTGTGTTTAACTCCCATGAGCTTGGAATATTGCATCCATACATCTCTGCAGTGACTCATAACTTAATAATAAAGTCATCTGGAATGACAAAGAAAGAATTCTTGCAGGACTCCCAGAGTTCATCAAAATTCTTTGGATTCATCTTCAATGCCTCCATCTTACCACAGACATGCTTAATAATGTTCATGTCTGGGGACTGGGCTGGCCAATCCTGGAGCACCTTGACCTTCTTTCAGGAACTTTGATGTGGAGGCTGAAGTATGAGAAGAAGTGCTAATCTGCTGAAGAATTTGCCCTCTCCTGTGGTTTGTAATGTAATGGGCAGCACAAATGTCTTGATACCTCAGGCTGTTGAAGTTGCCATCCTCTCTGCAGATCTCTCGTATGGCCCCATACTGAATGTAACTCCAAAACCACGATTTTTCCTTCAACAAACTTGACTGATTTCTGTGAGGATCTTGTGTCCATGCGGGTTCTATTGGGTCTTCTGCAGTTCTTGTGATGATTGGGATGCAGTTCAACAGATGAATCATCTGAAAAATCTACCTTCTGACACTTTTCCAAATTAGAAGTCAAGTTATTATGTGTTGCTCTTACCACTGGGAAAGACGGCAAGACTTTTGTCAGGTAGTGTATTTTCTCCAGAAGAAAATATATTATTCCTTGTTCTGTTAAACATCATTTAGGAAATATTTGAAAAAAAAAAAAGACTTAAACTATACATGTCTACTTCTCTTATCAACCTGGAAAAGAATGTAAAAATGCTTTTCCCAGCCTCCCAAATTACAACGTGCCCCAGTGCAAAAAAATAAGAGTATTGTTTTTACAGGGATGCTTAGAGCCTGTGCCCCCAATACTGATGAAAGACGAAAAACCTCCCCAAGCGCATGTGACGAAAGAAGACAGAGCGGGAAATAAAGGGATATGTTTAAAGAATGTCTAAATACAGCATGCGAGCGCTCCGACTGAAAGCCCTCCATCCATTCCCCTTTGCGAGGAGGGAGAGATTGCGTTCACAGTTTGGCGTCTGGGACTGTTTGCGGGCACAGAGTATAATTGAGTGTGAGTTAATTCCTATCAAAGCCCATTGGACTGCAACTAATGGACCGAGGGAGATGCCTCAAGGAGCCAGCGCTTTCAATTTCTTTTGTTTATTTAGATGGGAAAATGTTTAGTTTTTAATTAAGTAAATCACTATTATTTGTTCCAGTGTGGTTGGTAATTTGAAGAGATTGCAACCTGACTTGAAATGCAAGCGCTATTGGCTTTGAGAGAGAGAGAGATAGTGAGTGAGTTCTGGAGGAGGCTAAAGCGTGGTGTAATGGCCGTGAACCCGAGAGAGCTCTTTCCATACGGTATAGAAACACTCCCTGGGCTTCACTTTGAAGTGTTCCTGAGGTTCTCTCTGAAATCTTGAACTTATTCAAAGGGAGCGCTTCAATGGAGCACGAAGGTAAAAAAAAAGAAAAAAAAATCAAGAGGAGCCAGTGTAATGTCCTAGACCTTAGTAAGTGCGGTGACTATATGTATGTGCGTGTGTGTTTACATATGTCTCTTTCTGTCTGATTTGTTACAGATTTATTTTGACGCCGTGGACCAATTGGCGGCGATGGATTCCTGGCTTTCTCTAGTCTTCTTGAGTGGCTGTTTTTTGCTTCTTGTGGATTTCAAAGGTAGAGTTTGAAACCAAAAGGCCAAATATGACTCTTTTGTATTCATTAATTGATGTGTTTGTGTGATTACACCAGAGTATTTAATCTAAACTGTGTAATGAAACCTGTGAGTCATTACAGCAATATTGCGTTTGTAGCTTCGCTGTTAACAACACTTTTCATGCACTGGTGTAATTATCCGCCAAAGGTGCTGTATTAAATGAATAAATATAATCCTTTATCAAACACAAGCATATTTATACAAAGAAGCAAATGCCAAAAAAAGGTTTAGCATAGCTTGTTTAAACTGCTTTATATTAAATTATTATATTACAAACCAAAGCACTTTCAAAAATGTACAACAGTAGACTAAATTAACAACCACCGATCACCTTGAAATGCAGGTAGGATAAAAATGTTGCCACAAAAAGAAAACAAAAGGGAGATTTATCCAATGGGATCCTTTCATTTTTAACATATACACCACCTGAAAAAAAGGCTTGTCGTCGATCCCGGTTGTAAAAGGAACAAATAATGACTTCACTTCTAGTTGATAATTTGTAAAAGAGTCAGAAGGTAGATTTTTCCGATGATTCATCTGTTGATCTAAATCCCAATCGTCACAAATACTGCAGAAGACCTATTGAAGACAGCATGGACCCAAGATTCTCACTGAAATCAGTCAAGTTTGGTAAAGAAAAAATCATGGTTTGGGGTTACGTTCATCAAGAGATTCTTCAGCAGGATAGCGCTCCTTCTCATACTTCAGCCTCCACATCAAAGTTCCTGAAAGCAAAGAAGATCAAGGTGCTCCAGGATTGGCCAGCCCAGTCCCCAGATACGAACATTATTGAGCATGTCTGGGGTAAGATGAAGGAGGCAATGAAGATGAATCTAAAGAATCTTGATGAACTCTGGGAGTCCTGCAAGAATGCTTTCTTTGTCATTCCAGACGACTTTATTAATAAGTTATTTGAGTCATTGCAGAAATGAATGGATGCAGTCCTCCAAGCTCATGGGAGTCATACACAGTATTTATTATTTTGCCACTGCACCATGACTTTATATTCTATACTGTACATTATTTCTGTTCAGCGACAAGACTTTTGTCTAAGTTGAAAGTTGAAATTATTGACACACCATCTTATAAACACACACGATTATGTGTTAAGTGTTTCAAAAGACGCAAGATGCGAGCGTAAAGATAATGCACGTCTATCAAGCAAGTTGAAGTACATTGGAACAGAAAATCGTGTACTGTGTGAATGGCATTTAGACTCTTTACTTGGTGTGTTTGGGTTCTACAGATTTTTATAGATAAGATTGTGAAATAATGGCAGCACAAATTTTTATGCAATAAACGCTCTTTATTTTGATGTATAGCCATATACCGCCTGACTTTATTTTATGACAAGGACATTTTCCCTTTCATGTTTCCAAAGTGCTAAATACTTAGTTATCTATGCCGTCGAAAGAGTAATATCACAAGTATTTTTTGTTACACAAGAGATAGACTTGCTTATATAAAATGTCCTCGAATAGTTCCTGTGTGTCACACTGAATGTATGTCTAGGCAATTTGGCCCACAAGCAAATGTTCAAATCTTCTACTCTCACAGCTACATGCGGTAAATGCTCCCTTACCGCTTCTGCGCTGCTTGACAAAACTGCATCTGAATGGAAAGAATGGCCGAGGCAATTTACTGTAATGATTGCTTGTTGCATTTTCCCATTCTTCCACCATATACACAGTTTCGCGCGTCTGAACTGACTTCATCCTACTTGGTCTGAGAAGCTTTTGACATAGAAAACCAGGCCGCCCTCGCTCGGCTGTTCACCATCTTGCTGTGAGCTTTTATCTCGTAATAATTGTGCTCCCTGTCTATTAGCAGGCTCCAACAATCAAGTTTAGTGGAGATGAAATTGGTTACAGTATGCCAAGGCTCGGTTTGGAGTGGATGGTACCATATGTTGTTGCATGGCACCGTGGAAAATAATCTCTGTCTGCAATGATCTTGTTGGCTGTAATGTGTCTGGACTTTAAAAGAATGATGCTGCAACTCCTGTTTTATAAGGAGAAATAAAAACAGCAGTTAGCAGTCATTTTATGAAGAATGAAAACGATTAAATCCGCAGTTGCACTAAAAATGATTTGAATCCAATGTTTTAATGAAACCTTTCTTTAAATTCCAACCCAGGCTCTTTCCGATAACATACCCCTGTATACATTTCTGGAGAGCACCAAATACATCCCAGGAGCTCCTTTTTTTTTTTTTTTTTTGCAGTTTTTTGCAGTTTTTGTTTTCACGAATGCACCAGAGGCTGCTCTGTGCACTTTTTGATATCTCAAATATCTCTCACGAGTGCTATTCGTGCCTGCTCTTCTTGTGAAAATCCACCTGTTGACTGGCTAAATGACTGATCAATACCCCAATACACCCCTTTCCCTAAAACCAACTGACAGTGTTTTAAAAAGCACAGATTGACCAGTGCCTACCCACTTCCCTAAACCCAACCGACACACCGACAGTGTTCATTCATTCATTCATTCATTCATTCATTCATTCATTCATTCATTTTTTTTTTCTGCTTAGTCCCTATCTGGGGTCGCCACAGTGGAATAAACCACCAACTTAACCAGCATGTTTTTCCACAGCGGAAAACACTGCAGACAATTTAGCCTACTCAATTCACCTGTACAGCACGTCCCTGGACTGTGGGGGAAACCGGAGCACCCAGAGGAAACCCACGCGAAAGCAGAGAGAACATGCAAACTCCACATAGAAATGTCAAATGAGCCAAGGCTCGAACCAGCGACCCAGCAACCTTCTTGCTGTGAGGTGATATCACTACCTACTGCGCCATTGCGTCGCCATCGACAGTGTTTTCAAAAGCAGTTCAGAAAAAGAAAAAACTTCACTGCAGCCTGATTTTTACCACGTTTTCAGATTTTACCACCTTCTCACCCTGTTGTTTACTTGTTTATTTTTTGGCTTTTGATTTTGTCTTACCCACTTTCTGGAACCGTCAACTCCGCTCGTCACCTACGTTGAAACATTTAGATGCAGAGTTACTGGACAAAGTGGTAAAATGGGAAAAGCCGTTCACATGGAGGCAAGCGATCAGCTGTTAAGCACAAAAAGGAATGGTGTTATACCGCCCTGTAGCATTTGTTTTAAAGACGAAATGCAGCCATAAGTTCCTCTGGCTACATAATTCGCAATCTCCAGAAATGTATAAAATGCTCGTTGTTAATTTCAGTTTGCTCTGTCATGTATTTTAATAATTTATTTATTCAATTTTTTGTTTTACTTTAATGTACTCTGCTGTTTACTTTTGCAATTTACTTAATTTTTACTTTTTTTATTATATATAGTTCATATATATCATAATATTTTTAGGAAGAAATAAAAAAAAAACTATGAAAACGATCATTTAATTTAATGCCATTTAATGTTTAGGTAGAAAAAAAATAAAATAATAATAATAATAATAATAATAATAATAATAAACAATTACCTGTAATTGTAAAGATGATTTTTTAAATACAATGCAATTCATTTCTTATTTAAATTATTTAGGAATTGTGAAGCTAACATGTTGAGTTGAAATTATAATATTTTCTGTAAAATAATGATTTCTCTAAGAAATAAAAAGTGTATAAATGTGTAAAAAAAATTTATTACTTATAGATCAAGATTGGGAAACGCGGTCGTGCAGTGTTGTTGGTAGGGCTGTCACCTCACAGCAAGAGGGTCGCTGGTTTGAGCCTCAGCTGGGTCAGTTGGCATTTCTGTGTAGAGTTTGTATGTTCTCCCCGATTCGCATGGGTTTCCTCTGGGTGCTCCGGTTTTCCCCACAGTCCAAAGACCTGCAGTACAGGTGAATTGGATAGGATATATTGTCCGTAGTGTATGAGTGTAAATGAGTGCGTATGGATGTTTCCCAGAGATGTGTTGCAGCCGGAAGAGCATCCACTGTGGTAAACGTGCTGGATAAGTTGGCAGTTCATTCCACTGTGGCGACTCCGGGTTAATAAAGGGACTAAGCCGAAAAGAGAATGAATGAATCAAGTTTATTTATTTTTAAATAATTCAGTAAATGAAAGTAGTGTATTGTAGGTGCACATATGTTGATCGTTGGTTTTGACACATTTGTTCCTTGAACGACTCAGTGATAAAATGAAATGTCCATACCTTTGCAAATAAAGTTGGATATTACAATCCATTTATTGTCCATTTTGTTAAAAGTAAACCTAAATAACCATAAACCCATTGTGTCCGAAATCGAATTCTTCCATACTATAGAGTACACTAAAATCTGTATGTGAGCTGAGTAGTTTGTCTGAATTCATAGGCTGTGTCCGAAACCGCCTACTACTCAGTAGGTACTGCATTTGAATTTGAACGTACTACCCGGCCATTAGAAAAACATGTTCTTTACAGTATGAATGTAAGAAGTATGAATGGAATTCGAACGTACTACATCTGCCATTTTGTCATGGTTATGTGACCTACCTGTGTCATGAATTCTCTCGCGGGGCATCATGGGATAGTGCAGCATGCATGGGATACGCACTTCAGAATCTCGCCGTAAGTAGTGAGTCATCCGAGTACTTCTCGCTTACAGATTTTCGAATTCTATGAATTCAGACATACTACTCGGCTCACTTACTGATTTTAGCGAACTATATAGTATGAAAGTATGCGGTTTCAGAGGTAGCCATAGAATTCAAAAAATTTGTATTGGTGAAATACCCGCGTGACCTACTATTTGAAAAGTGTGCATCAGAATTTTTTAATGGGAGTAAAGTGTTGCAACTGATGAAGGTAGGTCATGTGAGCATGACATAATGGCGAATGAAACGCATCTGAGTTCCATACATACTACTCAAATTCATACTGTATAGAATGTACTTTTCTAATGGTTCAAATTCAAATGCAGTATTTACATAGTAGGTTATTTCGGACGCAGCCATTTTACACGTCCAGCACGGTCAAAGTTTCTTCTATGCCCCAACAC